AAGTTGATTAATTCATTCGCCTCACTTTAAGTAGTGATTTATTCGTATGAGATGTCATTTCAAATCCTCCAATGGACCAATCCCCAATTAACCAAAATTTTGAACTCAACAAGTCTAGACAAAAATTTCATCACAGCTTGAAAGAGCATCACAAAATTAGTAATATTCCAAAGTTTCGTTGCGAAATGTTGTAAAATGCCGCGGATAATATAGCCTTGCGAAGTTTGCAATTTTCAGTCATTTTAGATTACAAACGGGAAATGGTTACTGTCCACTTCCGTGCGTAATACAAAATGACTGAAAATTACAAACTTCGCAAGGCTATATTATCCGCATTTTACAACATTTCACAACGAAACTTTGGAATATTACTAATTTTGCGATGCTCTTTGAAATTTTTGTTTAGGCTAGTTGAGATCAAAATTTTGGAAAAGTGGTAACCGTTTCCCGCTCGTAATACAAAATGACTGAAAATTGCAAATTTCGCAAGGCTATATATATTATCCGCATTTTACAACATTTCGCAACAAAACTTTGGAATATTACTAATTTTGCGATGCTCTTTCATGCTATCATGGAATTTTGTCTAGACTTGTTGAGATAAAAATTTTGGTTAATTGGGGATTGGTCCATTCGGACTGCACCAGACATAAAGTCTTCGCATTGCGCTGACTTGAAATCTATTCCAGTCCTCATATGCTCAGATTTGAAATACTACATCAGTGCCAAATTACAAAAGATTAGAATAATTATTGAATTAAATTAATTATTATTAAGTTGGCTCCCTACAATTTCCAATATATGTCGGTGTTTTAAACTAGAACCTATTTAATTCATTTGAATCTAAAAAAACTAATTTTTTGGACAAGCCATTGTTTTCCCTTATATAAAAGAGTAATTTTAAGCCACAATCGCTACTCTTCACGTTGCCATGACAACATGACGTCACCATCTATATGGCCTATATCAACCAAAAAAGCCGTCTTAGCGGACAAATAAGCACGGTGACCTACCTTTTTTATTGCTGAAAATACATTGTTATGAGGTTTTGAATGTTTTTTGAAAGTTATTTGAAAATCGCCTGTGTAGTTTTCGAGAAACTGAATTTCAGCCTTCTCAAAGGCTAAAATGCAATCTTAAAGGCTGAAATTCAGTTTCTCGAAAACTACACTGGCGATTTCCAAATAATTTTCAAAAAAGATTCAAAGCTTCATAACAATGCTATTTTCTGCAATAAAAAAGGTAGGTCACCGTGCTTATTTGTCCGCTAAGACGGCTTTTTGGTTGATACAGGCCATATATATGGTGACGTCATGTTGTCATGGTAACGTGAAGAATAGTGATTGTAGCTTAAAATTACTCTTTTATATAAGAGGAAACAATGGCTTGTGCAAAAAATTAGGGTTTTTTTAGATTCAAATGAATTAAATAGGTTCTAGTTTAAAACACTGACATATATTGGAAACTGTAGGGAGCCTCGTTAAGTGCGTTATATCCAATGACGTATTGATGTATGTATGTATGTATGTAAAACTTTATTTCAATACGCTAACTTCGACAATTATTTACAACTGGTTTCCACGAAGGGCGTATACACACAAAGAGCTAAATGTTAATTATATATAGAACAAAATATGTAAGAATCCCACCCTAAAATATTATCATCTTCCTCCCAAACCTCCACCCCCTAAACAAGTACCCACCCACCCTCACGCAAAACTAACCCCCCTCCCGCCCACAATCTATATTGTCCCCCCATCATTTGGTCCTGGAGAAATTAGCTTATCATCTGCTTAAATGCAATTTCGCCATTGTTTTAAATGACGTAATTGACTCAGCCGCCTTGACATCTTGCGGCAGACTATTCCATAGAATTGCTCCACTGTATCCAAATGTTTTCTTTAGAAATTCCGTTTTCGGTTTTTTTAACGCGAGATCAGTTTCGCTATTGCGTAAATCATAAATATTCTGCGATGCATTTCTCCGAGAAAAAAGATCTTTAAGGTTTGGCGCAGTGTGGTTCCCCAAGACTTTATACATCAATACTAGCTTATTTTGTTCTCGTCTCCTAGCCAGGGTTTCCCAGCCTAATTTGTTTAGGACTTCAGACGATCTTACATCGTAGTCAGCTCCGGTAATCACCCTTGCTGCTCGATTTTGGAATTTTTGCAATTTGTCTTGAAGTCCCAAACCACAGTTATCCCACAGGGGAGAACAGTAATCAAAATGAGGCTGAATTAATGTTTTGTAGACATCATGTAAGGTTTTGTGTGAAACATAAGGTTTTATTC